CATATATTATCCGATGAATTGTGTCCCAAATTATAGAAATCATTTCGACCCCAACTAAACACCTGTCCGTCAGATGTGATGGCAAATGAACAGTAATAACAACAATAAATGCTTTTAATTTCGTGATTAATATTAAAATTCACTCGAAATGTGTCTCCATTTTGTATATCACTGTCTGTACCACAACCTAACTGTCCGAACATATTATCACCCAATCCGTACACACATCCATCACTCGTGAGAATCATTGTATGATAAGAACCACAACTTATTTGATTAATAATTTTATTATCGATGTATTTGTGAAAAATTTGTCCAACTTTTACATAAAAGGAATCCGTACTCTTGTGTGCCATACCTAATTGTCCCTTATTATTATGACCCCAACCATAGAGACAATTATGTTGAGTGAGGGCTAACACAAAGTCGCATCCATTGAAGAATTGTGTGATATTCTTGTGACACAATCTGTTTATCACTTGAATTTCATGGACATAGCGATTGTGTCCCAAACCAAGAGACCCCCAATAATTAGATCCCAAACCGTAAACCATGTCATCATTTGTAACAAACAATACATTATATCCTCTCTTGTCGTCGAAAACATGAAACAATTGAATCGATTTAATAATATTTTTTTCACTTTTGTTTTTCGTAAGTTTTAACCCCATATTTTACACCCAATTAACAAATGTTTATATTATATGAGTATTATTAATGAATTATTGTTTTAGAAATTTAATTGTACATAAAACGAATTACAAACAAACACTATTAATTACATACAATATATTGTTAATAATACGTATTTATTTATAATGATTGTCATGGTATTTTTATCATATCAAAGATAATTTGAAATAAAGGATTATGGATCGGCTATTACTGGGCTTTTGTTTTTCGCCCACGACAATCGGGAGTGGAGTCCAGTAATACCAAGTTTTAAACCCATTTTTTATACACATTTAAGATATGATTGCTATTATTAAAGTGTAATAATTAGTGAATTAATTGTTTTAGAAATTTAATTATATATAAAACACATTACAAACAAAGACACTATTATTAATAACATTATATATTTAATAAGAAATAGTTATTTACAATGATTGTCATGGTATTTTTATCATATCTATAGATAAATTGTAATAACGTAAAGCAGTATTATAAAATATCTTTACGTTCGAGTTTTTACATGAGTTGAAAGATTTCAAATGATGTATTGAAGTTTATTTAGTTAAGCCTTTCATAAAAATATAGTCATCTGCTAATCTGTAAGCAATTTTATAAATGTAATAACTATAAAATTTCCAATACATTATTTGAAATATTCCAATACATTTATAGATAAGATAAATTTATTTACTTTATTTATATCATAATTTTATTTGTATTGTATACACATGTAAGGTTTATAAGTTATTTATACACTATAAGATAAGATGTAATAATAATATACGCCATACGAATAAAAATAACAATATTTTGAGATTAGTAATAATATGTCATGCGAGAGAGGTCGTGCGGGTTATCATCTGAAACTACAGGCGCCGTTGAAAACTGTTGTAACTCCCCGAGCACTCGACTCACACATCCCTGGGCTATGGGACCACACTATTAGGCTGACCAGACGTCCAGCTTCGGACTGAATTGTTTAGTTATGTTTAGCACACTATCAAAGTTGTATATATTTATTAACAAACTCTTAAATCACTAATTTTTTTTATAAATTAATGTTTAATCAGACATTATAAGTTAATTATCAAATTAAATGAATAATATGTGCTTTAGATTAGTAAAATACTAAGTACGAATTATATTTTCATTAAATTTGACATAATTATAAAGAATTTCAATATATTTAAGTATGGACCAGCGTATGAAAATAGGTTGAGAAATGACTCATTTTAATTAGAATTACAATAGATATTGAGTATTGATTAAATTGATCAGATTTAAGTTTTTCGGTTTTTGTCAAGCTTTCAAATTACATTTTGTCATACTGTATTTAAAATGATACACTTACAAACAATTACACAAAAAACTGTGCAATATAAGTAATAATAATGTATGCAATATGCTTACTTATTTCTATGCTTTTTTATAAAATCATTTTATGATATAAAATACATTTAATAAAAAATGAACAAATTTCTATTAAATGACTGAAATATTCAAATAAATATATACATGTACATTTTTATTTGAATACATAATACTGCTATGATTTACATTGAATTTTACTATAAAAATTTAGTCACAGTACTTAACAAAAATCTATTGGCCAATGTTTTGCCAATTATTTGTTTACAGACTGTCTGTTCATAATATCTATAAATACATAAAAATCTGTTTATTATAATTTGAATTTATATAACATTGTGTATATATATATATTACACTATTTTTCATTTTAATATATTTTTTAGTTATTAAGCACTTCTGTGTAAACAATAACAATAATTAACGGTATTTGCATTGCATTTCTCATATACTCGGTGTTTGAGTCAAATATGTGCTAAAAATAGTTATAATACTACTCGTTTACTTCAAACCTATGAATATTTTATGAATAATTGACTTTTGTATAAAATTAATAATTAGGTATAATAAATATAAAATACCTAACGTTACTATTGTTGCGCCTAGGTCATATTATGTGTTATATTTGATAAATAAAGGAATTTTAAATGTCAAACCTCAAATATATATTTTATTTACAACGCTTTACTTTGTTGCAATTTATCTCTTGATATGATAAAATACCATGATAATCATGGTAATTAACTATTTTAATTGATAAATAGATTTAACTCAATCCCCACATATTCACACTTTTTAAATTCACACCATGAAAATCTGGGTACAAGTTTGGTGAAATTAGACAGGTCTGACTGTATAAGGTAGTGATGCCACTTATTTTTGCAAAATAAATTATGTTAAATTATATTTAATTTTATTCAAACATTATAATTTGCATTAAGTATTTTATTGAAAAATGTCTAAAAATTATAGAAATAATGTGGAATGCCCTTTTCTTGGCCATGTCTGATATAATAGGTTAGACATATCAGTTGATCACCATTATCATTTCACGTGAAATGCATTTACTACCTTTGTTCTACTTTAGTGGTTGTAATTAATTACCAAGACAATTAAGAAGTGCTACGTGCTATTTCGTTTATTAAACATCAAATCCTGGTCCCTTGATCCTATCATATCTTGTACCATAAGCCTAATAAGTTATTACCTGACAAATTATCGCTGATTCAACTTTCAAAAGAAAGAAATAAAACCTTATGTCTCATCAACAAAGTGCGCATTCATATACAAACATCTTTATTGTAGTAATGCGTATATGAAAGTTGCTCATCTGTTTATGTTCAATAATCTTGCTAAATTAAAATGGATTCTAATTTTGAAGACTGTTTGAAAGAGAAATTGGGCAAGAACAAAGAGATCATCAAGAAGTTGAATGAAATTCGGTCAACAATGAAGACACATCACATGGTTTGTAACGGGTTCAAGACAGCCGGTACAGGTGTCAGTGCTGCCGGCACTGTAATATTGACCGTCTCAATACTAGCCATTCCCCTAACCGGAGGGCTTTCACTATTGGGAGGCGGGTGGGGGTTAGGTCTTTCACTTGGGGGCGGGGCAACAACTATACTCACAAATACCATTGATTCGTCTAAAACGAAAAAATCGATCAAGAAAATTCAAAGCTTGCTTGATAGTTGTGAAAACCTGAATAATAACCTACAGCAACATTTGGAATTTATTAATTCACTTGTGTCTGAACTGGGTAGACATAATATCCCTCAAGATGAAGCAATTTTACGTGTCTTCCATGGTAAGTTTTCATAAATATAAAATATAATATCTAATTAATTAAATTAATGACAATGGCACTTATATTTTAAAGGTATAGCCAAAGGAACCGTAAATCGATTGAAAAATCCAAAGAAGTTGATAATGACGACCTTGGTAACACTAGCTATAGCTAAAGTAACATTTAAGGAAATAACTAAAGTCTACGTGAATGGAGTGCTTGTATCAACATCGGTTAGGACATTCGCACAAGTTGCCAAGTTCATTGGCAAAGCCACAGTTGTGTTATCGGTGTTGACCACCGCTGCCGATATTGGATTCCTCATAAGGGATTGGGTCTCAACTCATCCATCAATTAAAATGATTGATGACCTCAAAAGACAAATAAACGATGAGAGCAAATCACTCGAAGCGATGTATAATCTTATCGAACAACTAAAGGATAGCAAAGAAGTGGCCAAAAAGGGTACCAGCAGTATTAGCACTGTAAGTGTGACCGCAACAACTTCTGGGAACAAAAGCACAAGTGCATCAGGAAAAGGAAGTGAAGGAACAGGTTCGACGGGAGTAAATGGTGGCAATGGTGGAGATGATGAAAGAGGGTCAAGTTGGAAAAATCCGGGGTATGATGGTGACCCGACATATGAAAATAAGATTTCTACATCAAATGCGCGACTAATCCAAGTCCGGAGACAACGGGCTGAGATTGAAAAAATGCTTTCACAGAATGGCGTCGAAAACCCGAGAAGACTCTTGCGAGAAATAACGGAATATGCCAGAGAACTTAACGACATTGTCCATAGTTCAGTGCATTTTCCTAACCTGCAAAATGAAAGTCAACGAGAACGAGATGAAACCGAAAATCAATACTTTTACAATGTTAACGTTGCTGAAACTTTGGGTTGGTCTCAATCAGACATACCGAGGATACCCAGCGATAGCCCTACACACGATGAATATTATCGGAACAACAATGTTATTTGCGTTATCCAAGACACGGACGGTCAAAATCATCGCGGATATAGTTTAAGACTCGCTCGGGCTCTGGGAGAAATTCGACGTCAAGGTAATCGATATGAGCTTGAGTCTCAATTTCCTAACATTAGGCCAAAACGCCATCGTCAATATTTTCGCTATTTTGATAATTTGCGCGAAGATCCACCAGAAAATGAATTGACACGATGTGCGGAGCATATGGCTTATGAATCGTTGCAAAATAGGCAGCGGGTTCCTCGATATACATATTCGATAATGTACCGGAAAGGGAGAGTGATTTTCCGGGAGCCTTGCCCGAATTGTCAACAATATCCCGAGGACCAAGTCTATGGTCGCACAGTTACTCTAAACATGGATAAAATGGAAATTCCTCTTGACTTTGATGATGAATTTGACGACCAATCTGAGTAATTAATTTGGATAACAAATCAGTGACTTTTATAAATAATTCGTCAAAGAATTAAATTTCAACCATCGTTTTGATTAATATTAATTGGTGTTAACCCAATTATTATTTTCAAAAATATTATTTTTATTAAATTTAAGACTAAAATAGGTGTTAAATAACTTTTAAATTGTTTGAATATACTTTACATTGCTTTCTATGGGATGAGAAGAAAGAATTAGTTATTTTTTCTTATATAAGGCTTTAATATGTGTACGCGACTTGAATGTGTAATGATTTTTATTCTAACATTTTCAATTTATGTATTTATTCATAAATGTCTTGAAATGTTTCGGGAATTTTGAAAATACTTCCCGGATCAGTTTATTTCCTAAGACAAAAGTCTTAATAACCGTCAATAAATAGTTTAATTTTTTGCATTCAAATAGGAAATACAGAAATAAAACTGTAAATTAAAATTTTAATGAATGTGCAATACATCAATGAAATTATTTTATTTTTATTTCTTTAATAACTAATTTAAAATATTTTAATAAAATCTATTCTATACACAATAACTTAGTGGGGAACCTCGTTAGGTGTCAGTAAATTGTGCAATTAGAATGGGTATTAAAACAAACTCTATGTCCCTATCGACAAATTGAATTGATCAAAGTCGGCGAATATCATGAGTTCGTCCCGTAAATCCAGTTATAAAATATTGACATAGTGATTTTACACATAAAAATAACATTATTTCTATGGACGGCACTTCATGAACAC